ACTTTGTGATGGATGGTCCAGAACAGAGGATGGAGGAGAAATCTGAGGTGTGTTTCTCAGGAAGAAGAGTAACAGGCAACTCCCATGCAGAAAAAACACTAATGTGTCTGAAATTCAGGAGATTAAAATTCCCAGTGATCGAACATCTGCCTCTGCAACCATCGATGAGGAACACATGGGTCTTTTTCACTGATGAGTTTAGCCCATCTTCTTCCTTGTGAGCAGGGGGTGTCTTGGTTGCCTCAGTGAGCTGGACAACTGTGTGTTAGGGCAGGGTGAGACTGAGGAGGTATGACCGTGTCTGTTTTCAGTTAGAAACATTAGCAAACTCAGCTACAAAAGGCCACCTGCAAAAAACTTGCAATGTGCAGACTACAATGTAAATCTCCCAGCTGCCAAGACAGAGGGAGCTTGCAGAATAGAGAGCATGAAAGGGATTCTGCAGAAAACAAAAGTCAGAACACAGTGGCATATATTTCAGGCACAGGAAAGGGTATGTGGCAGCTATATTAAAGAGACATGATTTTCCTACAGAATGGGGGCAGAGGGAGAGCAGAAACCCAGTCATCCGATGCAATTGTAGCAGAGAAATATAGAGGAAATAGCTTATTTTTTATAAATTAATCTCGAGTTGGTTTTCATAAGTTGTTAAGAAACATGTGAGCATGTGAGTAATATATACTGTGTACAGGCCCCAAGACACAGAGCTATCTCCAGTTAAGACTGTGAAAGTAAAGTCATTTTTGAGAAAAATAATTGGGTAAAGGGAACAGAGAGAAGGAATCTTGAGATGGGGATGTGAGCAGCAGTACGGAGCAGATAACCCAAAGGGAAATTGTATATTTCTAATTTCCCCAATTAGGTTGCAAATTCCTGGAGAGCTCAAATAATCCTTTTATCTTTTATAGAATTAGCATATGTTTCCAGGTTATATAATGCTTTGTGTATAGTAGATGCTCAAAAATATTAATGGATACATTTATTCAATGATGTTGTGATGAATTTGACTGATTGGTAGGCTGGTAATTATGATATGTCCTCAGGGGAAAACATTCCTTCTGAGATACTTTTCTTTCTTCTTTCTCTCTTTCTTGCTTTCTTTTTTTCTCTTTCTCTCTTCCTTCATTCTTTCTTTTATTCCTTCCTTTATTTCTTTCCCCTGTTACATCCTCACACCTTTACTTGAATTGCTCCCTTTTTGATTTAAGCGCCACGGTTGCAGGCGCTGCGGTCAGCACAGCTGGCCATCATCCCCCTTGAACCACTGTCTCAAGCTACAGTTGCCGTGAGGCTTCTCAGGGTCTCTTTTACAATTGGGCACCCCAAGTTCCCACCACCCCCAGGTCCCCAGCAGTTTGTTCAGTTCCAGTCCAACCTCCCCCCTGTTCTCAAGCCCAGGGTCCCAAAGGCATGAGGGAGCCAGAGTTGCCCAGTGTCTGTACCATTGGCTTCTGTGTGGATCCGCGGGCCTGCCCGTGGGGCTGTGCATAGACCGCTGCCACCTGGCAGATGGGACAGTGCTCCGGTTCTGCCAGTTTGTTCAGTTCCAGTCCAGCCTCCCCCCTGTTCTCAAGCCCAGGGTCCCAAAGGCATGAGGGAGCCAGAGTTGCCCAGTGTCTGTACCTTTGGCTTCTGTGTGGATCTGCGGGCCTGCCCGTGGGGCTGTGCATAGACCGCTGCCACCTGGCGGATGGGACAGTGCTCCGGTTCTGTTTGTCCTCCCGTGTGGATGGGGAAGGAGCGGAGTTGCCTGGAGGAAGAATTACAACTCTCTTCATAATAACTCATATGTCTTAACTGTTCAAGTGCCTAACACCGTGCTGAGCATGTTATATTCATTTCCCCATTTAACTCTCCCCAAAGTCTAAAAGCACAACACTATAATTATTCTATCTCACAGATAAAGTGTGGCTTAGGAAGGGTAAGGCGCTTGCTTGAGGGCATGCGGCTGGCTGGCTACTGAGCCAGGCCTCTGAGCCTGGATACAAACCTAGTTCCTGTGACTCCAATGTCGGGCCTCTTACCCACAACCCAACAATTCCTTAAAATAATAAGGATCCTTCTATTTACGTACGGTTTTGTGGTTAAAAAGTTTTTTTCACACACATTAGCTTATGTGATCCTCAGTGCAACAACTTCTCTGGGGGAGATAATGGAAAAACCAGTATTCCCACGTAAAATTAGAGACATGAAGAACTAGAAAAACAAAATGGAAAAAATAGGAAAGAACAGATTTTTTACTGATTCATTTTCTTTATATATATATATATTTTTAACAAAAACATCCTCAGGGGAAAACATTCCTTCTGAGATACTTTTCTTTCTTCTTTCTCTCTTTCTTGCTTTCTTTTTTTCTCTTTCTCTCTTCCTTCATTCCTTCTTTTATTCCTTCCTTCCTTTATTTCTTTCCCCTGTTACATCCTCACACCTTTACTTGAATTGCTCCCTTTTTGATTTCAGCGCTGCGGTTGCAGGCGCTGCGGTCAGCACAGCTGGCCATCATCCCCCTTGAACCACTGTCTCAAGCTACAGTTGCCGTGAGGCTTCTCAGGGTCTCTTTTACAATTGGGCACCCCAAGTTCCCACCACCCCCAGGTCCCCAGCAGTTTGTTCAGTTCCAGTCCAGCCTCCCCCCTGTTCTCAAGCCCAGGGTCCCAAAGGCATGAGGGAGCCAGAGTTGCCCAGTGTCTGTACCTTTGGCTTCTGTGTGGATCTGCGGGCCTGCCCGTGGGGCTGTGCATAGACCGCTGCCACCTGGCGGATGGGACAGTGCTCCGGTTCTGTTTGTCCTCCCGTGTGGATGGGGAAGGAGCGGAGTTGCCTGGAGGAAGAATTACAACTCTCTNGGGGGATCAGTGGCCAAAGCTTTTGGCTATACACCCTCACTAGACTTCCCTGTGATATTTAATGGCATCACGAACCACAGAGAGCTACTAGAAATAGGGCCAGATAGGGGTGCCTGCCTCTGAGGCTTGGGGAGAATTCACACACCCATTTTTCTAGGCAGATACCTCAGGAAATGAAGACTGGGTCTTGGTGATATTTCAAATACACCTGAGTCTGAAGAAGTTATTATATGTACTGGAGAGGTTTCAGAAATCTTGCCACAAACATGTAGGGGCCATCAGGTTCCACCTTACTTTATTCCATTCAGTTATTTCCACCTTTCCTGTCACTGAAATTTCCAGAGATTAAATAATGATATTTGCCAAGAAGATTTTAGAACCTTGTTAGTTAACAGGACATACCACCTAACCCCATATGAAGTCACTTCTCCCTTAGATCTAAGCTAAATTAGTAAATGTCAAGGTCTTGGAAGTGTTAAAACCATTAGAGATAGAGGATTGGGAATTTGTGGGGGAGGGGAATGTAAATTGAGTGAAAAATTAGAATAACATGCAATATTTATTTTTGTGGTGCAATTTACATATCTAAAATCATTTTGGGCTAAGAAGAAACATAAAATGTATTATTTATAACTTGATTTGCTCATAAAATTATCATTTAAGTAAAATTAGAGACATGAAGAACTGGAAAAACAAAACGGAAAAAATAGGAAAGAACAGATTTTTTACTGATTCATTTTCTTTATATATATATATATTTTTTAACAAAAACATCCTCAGGGGAAAACATTCCTTCTGAGATACTTTTCTTTCTTCTTTCTCTCTTTCTTGCTTTCTTTTTTTCTCTTTCTCTCTTCCTTCATTCTTTCTTTTATTCCTTCCTTCCTTTATTTCTTTCCCCTGTTACATCCTCACACCTTTACTTGAATTGCTCCCTTTTTGATTTCAGCGCTGCGGTTGCAGGCGCTGCGGTCAGCACAGCTGGCCATCATCCCCCTTGAACCACTGTCTCAAGCTACAGTTGCCGTGAGGCTTCTCAGGGTCTCTTTTACAATTGGGCACCCCAAGTTCCCACCCCCCCAGGCCCCCAGCAGTTTGTTCAGTTCCAGTCCAGCCTCCCCCCTGTTCTCAAGCCCAGGGTCCCAAAGGCACGAGGGAGACAGAGTTGCCCAGTGTCTGTACCATTGGCTTCTGCATGGATCCGCAGGCCTGCCCGTGGGGCGGTGCATAGACCGCTGCCACCTGGCGGATGGGACAGTGCTCCGGTTCTGCTTGTCCTCCCATGTGGGTAGGGAAGGAGTGGAGTTGTGTGGAGGGAGAATTACAACTCTCTTCAAGGTGTGCTGAAGTGTAGTGTCTGTGCCATGGTCTACACATGCCCCTATGACCTGGATGGTTTTGAGCAAGTTGCTTAATTTTGTGGGCCTCCAATTACTTACTTGTAAAGGAGTAAAAAGAGGGATCAAGCTGATGCTCTCCGAGGTCCCTTCCAGCTCTAACAGCAAGGACGGAGCAAAGCAGACAGATGCTAACAGGAGTGCAGGGGCCTGAGGAAGAGGGAATTCTAGTGGGGGTAGGGGCACACTGGGGAAAAGGAGAAAGGACATTTAAAAACTCATGGAACACTTTACGAACCACAAGTTTTTTGGTCTATCGAGAGTGGAGAGAGTGCAGAGAGAAGGTCCCTGGCAGTTTCATGCAACAGTTGGCCTGAACAAAGGGAAATGTCTTTAGAACTAATGTGTGCACATGCTCACAGGCAAATGTCACAGACCAGAAGCCAGCGAGCTAAGGGCAGTGGAGGGCAGGAAGGCTGGCCCAGCAGGGGATTTCTACCACAGTCCTGATACCAACTTTATGACAAGGATCGAGAGACATCGGGAGAGAGGGCTTCTGGCCTTACTTGCTGTTTTTGTTTATTTGTTCCTCCTTTTAAAATTCTTTTTTATGAGGCTGCCATAAAAACACTCATTAGGCAGTGTTGATTTTCATTAATGTTGATTCTCCAAGAGCTTAATCAATCTTCTGTGACCAGTGACCTCATCCCCATGGGAGAAGAACGCTGTGTAACAAATTAGCTTTACAGACTGTAGGTAAGGCGTACAGATGGGAGGTAGCCCGTGTTGCCAAAACAGGACGTGGATTAGTGGTTTAATATGCACAAAAACAATAGCATTACACTGTCTCCTTGTGTTACCAAAATGCATCATTAGGACGCAGCTGTCCTCTCTCCCCACTACACCCTCCGTCCTTCCTCCCTCTCCCTCCTGTGCTCACTTTCGCCCTCTGTGAAATCTGAGCTCTGAAAGCACCTAGAGGCAGCAGCACATCTGCAGCAAGTAGGAAGGGAACGCAAATCACAGATGCACACGGGTAAGCAGGAGGGGAGATCAGCGTGGCCGCCAGTGTCAACTCGGAGCCTAGCAATTGCCCCCGGAACCAGTATTATTCAAGGTAAACGAGAGCCTTCACTCCCACGTGTACCCCCAGCCAGGCGGCACTCGGCTGAAACTCTACTGGGCTGCTTGCTTTCTGCTGTTAATTAGTATTATGTCCCTGCCAGGCAGCCTTTCCAAAGGCAGGTGTCCACTGGATAGGTAGCCCAGTCAATCACTGGAAGGAGCTTTGGAGCTCTGCATGGGAAGTCAAGCGCCTCGGGACAAAGGCAGGTCAAAGATGACCTTTCACTGTGTCCCAGTTTTGCGCAAGGCTGTGTTTGGTGGCACCAACACACAGTGGGGACACATAAGCCATGGAGTTTCTGCCCCAGTCAGTGCTGGCTGGTTGGCTCTCAGTTCTATCTTCTGAAGCAGAGGGGACAGCATTATTGTTGGTATGTGTTGAAGAAGGATGGTCCAGAGACAGACTAAGCTGATCACGGCTCCACAGTGACAGAGCCAGGGGCCTTGAAGACTAAAGCCCATCTCTTCCAAGGGGAGGTGCACAGAGATGTGGGCATGGATGCCAGCAGATGCTCCCAGCCCTGCTGAACTCTTCTCATCCAGCTTGTCCCCAGACGGCCTGGCTTATACAATAGGGAGCCTTCTCCCTCATGCCTCCTGCTCAGCAGTCTGCAGTGCAGTCGCATGCCTGAAATCAGGCCACTGCTGTCAGCTCCACAGCCGCACACCCCAGCCTGGCTGCAGAATCCTGCAGAATGGGCTGCATTTGTCAGGGTGAAAGACACTGCAAACGTTGGTCTGTGGGAATGAACTCTGCTGTGAGGAAGAGGTTGGTAGGGCCACAGGCTTTCTGCTTGCCCTCCTCTTCACTTATTTAAATGCATCAAATATATGTTGAGTGCCTACTACATACAAAACCCTGTCACAGGCCTTGGGGAGGACCAGGCAAGGGTGAGCAGGACATAGTCCCTGACTAGTGAGGCCCTTTTGCTTGTAGTTTTTATGGATGTATGACTCTGCTAATTTCTGTGTTTCCTAAAGCAGTGGCCCATTAATTCTGTGCCGCCGGTTCTTTACTCTCAGCATACTAGCTATTTAATTAGTATCCACAGCTGTGCCCATTGCTTAATTGGTCTTCCACAAAAATCTGATGAATAACAAATAAATGGACTTCTTGGGTACAGCCGTAAATATAGTCCTTTCTAGTTCCTGGGAAAAGGATTTTTATCACTCATTTGCTATGACTTCTTGAGCACCTACTAGTGTGAGACCTGTGCTAAATGGGTTAGATACACTGTCTCTTACCTTTACAACAATCTGCACGGTGCATACTTTGTCTCTAGCCTACAGATGAGGAAAGGGAAATGCAGAGAAGTTAACTAATTGGTTTAAGATTATAACCAGAAAGAGGCCAACCCAGGATTCAAACCCACGTTTTTCAGACTTAAGAGCCATGGTCTTTCTTCCACTGTTTACGACCAGGCAGAGCAATCTGACCATCAGGACAGAGTTTCCACCCACTGGTTATTAGAAAAGAAAAGTCGAATGGTGAAGGTGAAGTCCAGCTGCTGCTGGTATAGTGACATCTCGATGCTGTTACACATCACTTCCTAGGACGACTGTGACTCATAAGACAGGTCAGGGCTCGTATCTTCCTCTGTGCCTTGGGTAGCCCTAAGCCAAGGCCTCCCATTACCTTATAGAGGATTGTGGGTGCAAGGTAGTGTCAAAAGCAGGCATGCTAACTCTCTGACTGGGCACAGCCTTACACTGAAACTCATACTCAGACATTTCCCCAGATCTTAGAACTACTCCCCAAGAATGGTGACTTTCAGCTGCAGCCGTCTCTTAGGCTGGAAGCGAGGCAGTGACCTCAAGGTGAAAGTCTCCGTATCCCATTACCAATCCAATTACCTGGCACTTGCACGTTAGATGGGAACTGCCAGACCGGAACCCTACAATGGATCACGTAGTCCTGTGTCTTGTCTCTGACAGTCGTCAGGCCTGAGTGTCTCACTCAGGTGCTTCTTGCTGTCAGTCTGCAGACACGCCAGCATGCTTTCCTTTCAATGAAGATAGAGCTGGTTACAGAGAATGGTGGCCAGCACAGAAACCCACTGAATCACTGTGGCTCCCATCCAGCTGCAGCCTTGACCCTGGGATTCATTAATTCATTGGACAAATATCTATTGAGCTGCTACTAAATACTAGGCAGTGCTATGCACTGGGGATACAACGATGTGCAGTCTCCGCTCTGACGGGCTTTCATCGCAGTAGGAGAGTGCAGGCAATAGAACAGCTGCATATACGTTGTGACAGTCATTATGAATACTACGGAAAAAACAAAGCATGGTTAAGAGGATGAACAGCAATAGAGAATCGACACTATATATCAGGTGGCAGGAAAGTCTCATGCACAAAGAGATATTTCAGCAGAGGCTTAAAGGAATTGGAGGAGTAGGACGTGGCCGTCTGGAGGAAGACATGTGGAAGATACGTCTTGTCGCTTATGTCGGAGTTGGGAGAGGTCTTGGTGCTAGAAGCAGAAGGGTGAGCAGGTGCAGAAAGGAGATACGTTTGGAGTGCATGAGGAGTGGAGGAAGAGCAAGGTGGCTGGCGAGGCTGGAGAGGAATGAGGGAGGGGAGAGGTGAGATGATTTCAGAGAGGAGCAGGTGGCAGGGTCACGGAGGCCTCACAAACCATGGTATGGACTTGGGCTCTTACTCTGAGGGATACGGGAAGCCCTTTGGAGGGTTCTGAGCAGTATAAATCATACAGTAACTAAGCATTCATTGAACATGTCTTCAGATAAATATTTGTTGAAT